CACACACGTTCATTTCACGTCATATTGTAAACTCACCTTGTTTTGACCTTTACGTTTTGAACAAGCTCTTAAATTCACTCAAAATGCATGTTTGTGCTGTGATGAGGAAGCTGCACTTTGGCTTGTTTGTTTTCTTCTTGTGGTTCAAATTTTTGTTCAAATGAAGAATTTATTGTCAGTTTTTTCACGAACACCCATTTATCTATGTACGTCTTTGTTTTGTTCTCAACCATGTTCAAATATTGTATTATGAATCATAAGCCTTAGGTATAAGACATTCAAGTCATCATGAAAGGCAGTTAACACAGGCGATGTTTCAAAAACAGTTTTTCTAGGATTCTGTTGAACCGCATTAAAAAACCAGCAATGTTTGCCTCAATAATAACGGCGAATTCAACAACAAAACATGAAATTACTTGTTACAAAAGTAAATTGATAAAAAAGTGTACATTTGGCTGCAGATAAATAAAGAAGCGATGTAGTTATTTGATTTAATATTTATCATTTAGTCCTCATAATTTTTTAAGAAAATATTTCAAATTGGCACAGTGCTACGTACATGACTTCCCTTACATTTTAAACTGTTAAGTCGTTACAGTGCCGTGGCATTGTTTAATATTCATACATTGTTACTCATTTTTCATATTTTTTATTTTTCCATTTGCTTGGTTTTTTTAAGTGGCAGTGACTGATTTGTATATTTGTATACCACGTATTTCATTTCGCGTGGACTTTGGCATCTCCTCGTGGGATCATTCTGGCTGTGGAAGGGTGACACACGCGCTATATCTTTAAGATTAATTTAACAAAGAAGTGAAAGGATCTGCCTGTCCCCTGTTATCGAGACTAAACATAGATCATCCCTGGAAACATTAGAATCATTGTCAGTATGTGTTATCGGTAGCGAATGTAAACACAATAAATCCAGTAGTTAAAACAATACAACCGTCGGCTGGGAATGCCTTTGGAAATCTTATGACAATATATCAGTACTTTTCAAACCATATCGTCGTTTCTTCTAATATTCCCGACCCTGCGTTAATGGTAACCGTTTTGAGACATGGTATACAAGCCATGTAATGTGGTCACCTGGTTAGTTTGCTTGCTCCATATGGAAAACCAAACACGCCCAGCTGGTGTACACGAAACGCGATGCCAGTTACTAAGTCTGTGTCTGAATATAGGGCGTCCCGCCTAAAATGTATATACCATAGTGAATTTAGGAGACTTCTAATACAATGTTATCTGTAAGACACAAAATGTCAGTGTCGTTCTCTCTGCTTGACGTATGATATGATAGGACATATAGACATATATAGCCTGTTTGCCATAGAATCTGAAGAACGCGGTTCCTTAAGCTGTAGTTTGGCGTTTTCTTTTCAAGACATCTCAATCATCCAAACCCCGCAGAGAAGGTAATATGGTGCTTGGAAAACAAGTCTTGGAATCCTGGGAAAACTATTTGATAAATAGGCATGACATTGCTTTAGCTGTGACTGGTTTATAGAACGGTTATGACAATGCCACACCAATTATTCTGGAAATGCTATGTTCCTAATGACTGTTGTGGGGTCCTGGTGGGTATATAATTGTTTAGGCTTGTTTTAATTAACTTCTTGTTTATCGTGACCCCAATCGTTGCTTCCGAATCTAATATCTTTTAAAATTCATAAGCACTTGTAAGATACTTTTTCAATTCAGACTTCGTTTTTACATCGGATTCCGTCTTTTCACCTCGAGTCGCAGAGAACGTCACCAAATGAGTCACTTAGTACATTAGAAATAAATTTAATTCTATAGATTCGCAAGGCACTTAGGAAAAAGAACATGTAAACCCTCTCTATCGCGTAACTATCGAAATGAAAGTAATGAGAAACGAGAACTATTTTAACTGGCTAAATCGGGAACTGCCTGGCTGTTTAACGGGTTGTAACTAGATATCACATTGTTTAAATACAACATCTGTCAGCATTGTCTGAGACACGAAGCCGCCGTGGCGATTCCTGGTGATAAGTGGTCCCGCATCCCCAATGCATAGCTGACAACAATGGGTATCGGGTGGTTACAATGTGGGGATTTTGTGTCAATGATTTCCGATGGCGCTGGTCGTCATTTATGCTTTGAGCTTTGCTTGTCGGGCAAAAGAAAGCATACACTTGAAAACTGGATTTTACCAAAAAATATCAAACGTTATCAAAACTACTTGGCTGAAAACAGTCGCCGAAACACTGCAAGCTTAAGGTAAAAAACACTGTTATGATACCCTTATCAAATACACCACCATCGAAAAACAATTTCTTGTTTGTTTCATTTTTAGCCTCAATCAAAAATAGGTGTATACTTACGTTTGTCTGGCAGTGTATAACTACGGAAGCCTTTTCGGGCCATGTGTTTTTAAAAAAAAAATCGATACTATCTTGAAATTTCAAGATACTCAGTTGAAATTTCAAGATACTATCTTGAAATTTCAAGATACTATCTTAAAATTTCAAGACACTCAGTTGAAATTTCAAGATACTATCTTGAAATTTCAAGATACAGAAGTTGAAATTTCAAGATACAGAAGTTGAAATTTCGGGGGAAACTAAGTTGAAATTTCAAGATACTATACTTCTATTTCAAGAAGTTGAAATTTCAAGATACAGAAGTTGACATTTCAAGATACTAAGTTGAAATTTCAAGATACTATCTTGGTATACAAGATACTATCTTGGAATACAAGATACTACATGTATCTTGGAATACAAGATACTATCTTGAATTTCAACTTTATATCTTGAAATTTCAACTTAGTATCTTCAAATTTCAACTTAGTTTCTTGAAATTTCAACTTAGGATCTTGAAATTTCAAGATAGTATCGAAAAAAGAGAGAAGAAATTACCCTAAAAGGCTTCCGTAGTATAACTACACAGTATGGTAGAAAATATCTACAACCATATCGCAGATTTATAAACTAACCCGATAATGAATACTAACACATAAATAGCCAATAAGGTAGTGACTCGGGTTATTGGCCATATAAGCATGTCACTAGGGATGAAGGGGACCTACATTGCCTGTGTTTCCTGCATGATACCCAGCAGGATTGGCTTCATCGTGCAGTCCTGCAGTACACGCATGGAACTCCAGATATACTCTTAGGCAAGAAGTTACCGACAGTGTGATAATCTACTTCACCTTATTGAAATTGTACGAGAATTTTCTGAGCTGACCTCATACAATTTGTTTGTTTGTTTCATTGTTGTTCAACGTCGCACTCAGCAATATTCCAGCTATTTGACGGCGGTCTGTAAATAATCCAGTCTGGACCAGACAATGCAGTGGTTGACATCATGAGCATCGATCCACGCAATTGGAACACGATGACATGCATCTACCAAGTCAGCGAACCTGACCACCCGATCCCGTTAATCGTTTTACGGCAAGATTAGGTTCTATCACGGGTCTGACCTCATACAGACTTGATATTATTATTTAATTATTAGTTTGACAAATAAAACAATCTACGTTGAATTGTAACTCGAGAAATTCTGGCAGTCCCCATCATAGATGAACATCAGCTTGAAAGGTGAGGTGAGGTGAAATGGGGTTTGACGTCGCGTCCAAGATTATTGCACTTATATAGTGACGTGAATGTACGTATGTGTGTTTGTGTGGCCGCTTGTGCTAGTCCGGACTAATGCCGATTTATAGTGCTAGCTCACTGAGATACCATGCCGCAGTTTTAACATGAATACCCCACTCAGACACAGTATACTGACTCCGAGCCGACCAGTCCTTGTTTTAGCTCCTCAATGCCGAGCGCCAGACAGGGTAACAACAAGTACCATCTTTTAACGTCTTTTGGAATAACGCGCCCGGGGATTGAACCCCGGACCTTCCGTATTAGTACAAGCAGACACACACACGCGCACGCACGCACATGCATGCATGCACGTCGCTATATAAGCGCAATAATCTTGAACGCGACGTTAAACCCCATTTCACCTCACCTCTACGTGGAAACAAATATATGCGGGGTCAAAACCAAATTGGAAGAAGGGTAGATAAAGACACTAGGTGTTATACTAATGATCTAATGGCAGAAAAACTATATACTGGCCCATAAGGGAAAATATGTTTGTAGCGGAGCTTTCGTTTCCGAAATTATACGAGCGCTTCATTCCCTTTGACTGAACGAGTTACAAGTATTTTCATCGGATTACGCTTTATTTCTTAATTGCCCAGTGTGATCTTTTATATACAGCAACAGAAAAGCTGGCTTGTCAAGATAAGACATTTTCTGTTAAACGCTTCGACACTGGTCATACATGAAAGGCAGTAAGCCATCTCACCTTTGTTAATGTACAGTAATACTTTCTATTGCATAGGTTCTGTTTGTATACATGTATGAGAGGATGTGTCATCATGAAGCAGATAAAACATCCCACATATGCAAGCCGATATCTTTGGTTAGGACGGGATGTGGATAAGCAGCATGGTGGTTTGTGGTGGCGTGATTTATTCAATTAATGACAGGCTCATCTCAAATTATTTAAATGTCGTAGGTGTTGAATATAGCGCGCGCGCACGCGCGTGTGTGTGTGTTGTTTAACGCCGCAATATCAGAGCTATATGACGACCGCCTGTAATATATCGAGGATGAACCAGACAATCCAGTAATCTACAGCTCACAGGGTTCCAAAGCTACATTACGATGATTATACAAGAGCTTCTCACCTTCTGTGAAAATGCTTTTCCGATTTCCGACATAATATGTTTTTCTGTTGCGAAAGATGATAACTTAACTTTTCTGTTTCCTAGTAAGTTTGGGCCAAATTATACTGTACGCCCCTTTAATCAAAATGGAAGCCTACATTTAGTGCTATACACTTATTATTAGTGGTATGCATTAGCATAATTTTATCTCCCTTGAAACTCTTCAAAGAAGTCACGATTAACTACTACCTAATATTCGTTTATCCATACACTGTTGGGGCTTGATTCAGATATGCAAAGTCTGTAAATGGTTAAATGAAAGCATAAACAAAATGGTCCTCACGTGGGAAAAATGAAGAGATGAAGTAGTGATTATTGTGGATATATTCCTTCATATTTGACAAAATCTAAACAACATGTTGACAAATAAAGTATTTGTCAAGAAGACGAAGAAAGGTAGTGTGATGAAAATAGTCAGGGAGCACTATCTCCGTGATGACATCACATGTGGATCTGAAATTTGTAAATCTTGTGAACATTCTGATGGCTCCCAAATTCTGGTATCGGAACCATCACGTGACAGCAAACTGTGTCCGACACGCCACTACATTGTACCCGATACAAACGTTGTCTTGCATCAGGTAAGCAGCGCACACGAGCTGTAGAGTTGACGGTGTGAACAGTGTCATATATCCGGGTTATAGCTAAAACGGCACCTCAGCAAAACGTCACCTGGCGAAAACGGCACCGATTGGCGAAAACGTCACCTCGCCTCAGGAGAGAACGGCTACTATTGCCTGGCGAAAACGGCACCTTATGTTTTTTTAACCTTGATAAAATAAATGATATTAAATAACATGGTCGCTTGCAAACACCAATAATTGTGAAATGTTACAACTAGCTTACATTAGAATTTAGCCTCTACTCCAACTATAATCCAACTTAGCCTATACGCAACTCAACTTATTGTGAAAACATAACATGCCTTGAAGTAAAATAAATGAAATTAAACTCACATCGTCTCTTACAAACACTAATAATAGTGAAATGTTTAAACAAGTTTACAGTAGAAATTAGCCCCCTACTGTCCAGGACATTTTTTGTGAGGCCAAGAGAATATTCTCCTGGTAAATAGAGGTGCCGTTTTCGCCTGTCACATAGTAGCCGTTTTCGCCAAATGCGGTGCCGTTTTCGCCAGAGAAATCGGTGACGTTTTGCTGAGGTGCCGTTTTAGCCTGCACCCCATATATCCCTGATAAAACAATTAAATCACGCTAACCATGCTGGTAATCATGTAATACAAAAACAAATAGATAATTCTAAGTGAAAAGTAACTTCCAGCCCACTCACCCACGGTTGGTAACATTTCTGTCAGAATCGGTGAAATTTATTCCAATAGACATAATTGAAAATTTCATTTCTACACTGACACTGACATTTTTTAATGAGACATTGATATATGACTCAACAGATACCTTATGATTATAAACCTGGAAATGTTAAAGGCACAGAATAAAGTAAATCTGATAAACATGATATTGATTATCTACTCTGGTATGTCGTTACTATTGTGGGCCTGCACTTTCGAAAATGGCTATTTACATATTTAAGTCACCAGCCTGCCTGGTTTGTTGGGAGTAAGCATATTTCAGACACTGACTGACACAAATGCATGATTTTTTTAATGCATGATGCACAAATGCATGATTTGCTGCAAAACCATAGGATACACCATGTAAACCATATTGTTGGATACAGAGTTACATCTCAAGTAGCATGGTTTGGTCAATTCTGGAAGACAGCTGAAATATGTTCTGTTATTCAAGACAATAACTAGTTACCATGGTATTGTCCTCAAAACTAATTTTGTGTTTGTTTTACAGTTTGACGTTCTGGAAGATAAAAGCATTCAAAATGCTATAATTCTTCAAACAGTCATAGAAGAGGTAAGACATCAAACTGACATTTTCTGATCATCATAATCACAACAAACTGTATTGAATTACTTTGCAATAAACATTGCATTGCATGTTGCTGTGTTTGCCATTATGACTACAGCATGTATAAGTTTACTTATAATGATTTATGTGAACATGATCATGATGATGTAAGGATTATTAATGATTGATATAATTTACTGCACAATTACTTTTCAGGTCAAACATAAGAGTATTCCTGTCTACAAGAGGTTAAAAGATCAGCTGGGAAACTCTGACAAGCATTTCTACACATTCTCCAATGAATACCACAGGTAGGAGAGGCTGTGACAGGAATAATTCCTACCTTGAACTTGTATCATGAGTTCAGCCCTTGAACATGTGTCATGGGTCTGTCCCTTGAACGTGTGTCATGTGTCCATCCCTTGAATGTGTGTCATGGGTCCATCCCTTGAATTTGTGTCACAGGTTCATCCCTTGAATTTGTGTCATGGATCCATCCCTTGAACTTGTGTTATGGGTCCGCCCAAAAATCCTCTCCAAAATCCAAAAAGTCCTCTCCAAACATTCTGTATACGACCTGGCTACATTATAGGATGGTTTTCATTTCAAAATTCAAAATCCCAACATGTGCAAGGCACTGCAGTGTTTTCACGGATGCTGAAATAGTGCCTTGAATTCATCTTAATCAGAACTGTTGGACAGAGTCTTCATCTACAATGAACACGATGAAGTAAGATTTTCACTTTGAAAAATTCAAAACCAAACTTATATTGATAATGTTTCAATGAGCCCCTTGAATTAGGAGCTTGTAAAGAAATGTCAAACAGAGTATTTGTCATGTGTTTAAAGCTTCATGTTGTTTGACCCCAGAGACACATTTGTGGAGAGGAAGCCAGGCGAGTCTTCCAATGACCGGAATGACCGCGCTATCCGCACAGCGTGCACCTGGTACCAGAATCATCTGCAGGGGGTCTCCCCCGCCATCAACATCGTGCTACTCACCAACGATGTTGACAACAAGGTCAAGGCCACTAAAGAGGGGATAACCTGCTATGCTTGTAAGTTGTGATGGAACTGTGGGAGTGGATGTTGTTTTTTACGTCAGTCAGCTATGTCATGGGTCCATGCTAAATAATGGGGGCATGGCTGGCCAAGTAGCCTATGTTACAGCAATTGCATCAGATGTTCAGCTTGCACCATCAATGGACAAATTAACTAACCACAAACCAAGGAAAATAATATAGATTTTATCACCTGCCATCAGCCTTCGCTGACTGCAAGATGTAGGATACTATCCAAAGAAGTGACCTGTGTTCCCTTGGTCAAGGTCACAGAAGAAATATTGTACCCTGATTGGCTGAATTGTACGTACTGTCAGGTTTGATTGCCCTTAAGCCAGGTCTTGCTTTGTATCCACCAATCTTCATGTATGTAGTGTTGCCACCAGTCTTCATGTCAGTGGGTAAGTGCTTTGAATGGATGGATTATAGCACATCACAAATTTCCATTATTGCTGTTTTATGACAAGATTTGGGCACTTAGGGTCTATTCCAATCAGTGTCCTGATTTGTATCATCAGTATTATATAAAGCAGTGATACGTTATAGATGTCAGACAGAACAAGGACATGAGAGGAGTGTATTACACCTGATTATGATATATTGTTGTTTCAGTTGAAGACTATGTAAAAAGTCTGAAAAATGGATCTGAACTTGTAGACAGACTGGCAAGCTCGGATCGATCCATGGTAGGTGACTTCTTTCAGAGGGAACAAGAGTTGTCAGTGAAAACAGTATGGGAAGATACTGCGTTTGATGCATTCAGATGTTGCCATGGTTTCAGTATCATGGAACTACTGGTACTCTTATCCTCTTGTTCTTTTTCCAGAGTTGTTGCTTTTGTTTGTTGTTTAATGTCGCACTCAACAATATTCCAGCTATATGTAGTTGGTCTGTATATAATCGAATCTGACCCAGACAATCCAGTGATTGACGTCATGAGCATCGATCCACACAGTTGGGATACGATGACATGCAATCTACCAAGTCAGCGAGCCTGACTACCCGATCCATCTAGTCGGCTCTTACAACCAGCAGAGGTTGCTGGAGACCTAGATTCTTACCTGGAATCCCTACAGGTGTGTTCCAGAGGGGTATCCCTGTAGTTTAACATGAAAAGTGTTTAGTCAGCATGTTGACGGGCACAGGTGCTCGGGTCATTAAAGGTGCTGGACATTGCTGTGCAGAGTTGCATCCCTTAGATGTGGCAGAACCCTATGATTGATGGTTCAAATCCTGGTTTGTCCTGATTGTGTTTCTAGGTTTGTCAGCACCATGCCTGTGTGTGACAACTTGAGTAATGACAATAACTAAATTAAACTTTGTCATAACAGTTTTATTAATGAACACTAATTCACAGGAATATATGTCTTTCTTTTAAGGTTTGTATCAAATTACAGTGTAACATGTAACCTGTATCTTTGACCTTGGCCTGATTAAACAATAAACATAAATTACTGGATGAGTGTAAGAGATGTAGTGAAAGGGATGTGGAGTGTTGAGATGGTCCCTGTTGCAGGTCGGAGACAGCCGTGTGATGTATCCTGAGCACCTAGGGCTGTCCGAGATCCAGCGCGGGATCAAGTCCGGGAAGTATCACCAGGGCAGCTTCCTGGCAAGCCGGGAAAACTACAAGGAGGCCAATGTCAGCGCCCATGACCAGGACAGGATGGTGGGTAGTCTGCATGCACAACACTGAAACACAAGGGGCGATGGGGTGGTTAAGGTGTTCACGTGTCTCGTCAAAGATCTGGGTTTGATTCCCCACATGGGTACAATGTTCCGAAGCCCATTTCTGGTGTACCCTGCCATGGTTTCCTGGTATGTTGCTAAGTTTGTTGTGAAACCTCACTAAATCACACAACCTCACTCAAACACAAAATCTGCTTCTCAGGACTTTTCTGCATAATTATAATATCTATTTCCTTCTCAACATTTTGACTCTGATCACCTGAATGTTATCAGCTTATATTATTGCACAAAAGAAACTTTATATCTTATGGCACTGTGCCATGGCCACTTCCGTGGTCTTGTGGATAGAGTATGTGCCAGGAGAGCAGTGGGTTGGTGGTTTTATCTCATGACTGCCTCTGTGGTCTTGTGGATAGAGTGTGTGCCCGGAGAGCAGTGGGTCGGTGGTTTTATCCCATGACTGCCTCTGTGGTCTTGTGGATAGAGTGTGTGCCAGGATAGCAGTGGATCGGAGGTTTTATCTCATGACTGCCTCTGTGGTCTTGTGGATAGAGTGTGTGCCAGGAGAGCAGTGGGTTGGTGGTTTTATCCCATGGCTGCCTCTGTGGTCTTGTGGATAGAGTGTGTGCCAGGAGAGCAGTGGGTTGGTGGTTTTATCTCATGACTGCCTCTGTGGTCTTGTGGATAGAGTGTGTGCCCGGAGAGCAGTGGGTCGGTGGTTTTATCCCACGGCTGCCTCTGTGGTCTTGTGGATAGATTGTGTGCCAGGAGAGCAGTGGGTCGGTGGTTTTATCTCATGGCTGCCTCTGTGGTCTTGTGGATAGAGTGTGTGCCAGGAGAGCATTGGGTCGGTGGTTTTATCCCATGGCTGCCTCTGTGGTCTTGTGGATAGATTGTGTGCCAGGAGAGCAGTGGGTCGGTGATTTTATCTCATGACTGCCTCTGTGGTCTTGTGGATAGAGTGTGTGCCAGGAGAGCAGTGGGTTGGTGGTTTTATCCCATGGCTGCCTCTGTGGTCTTGTGGATAGAGTGTGTGCCAGGAGAGCAGTGGGTTGGTGGTTTTATCCCATGGCTGCCTCTGTGGTTTTGTGGATAGAGTGTGTGCCAGGAGAGCAGTGGGTTGGTGGTTTTATCCCATGGCTGCCTCTGTGGTCTTGTGGATAGAGTGTGTGCCAGGAGAGCAGTGGGTTGGTGGTTTTATCTCATGGCTGCCTCTGTGGTCTTGTGGATAGAGTGTGTGCCAGGAGAGCAGTGGGTCGGTGGTTTTATCCCACGGCTGCCTCTGTGGTCTTGTGGATAGATTGTGTGCCAGGAGAGCAGTGGGTCGGTGGTTTTATCCCACGGCTGCCTCTGTGGTCTTGTGGATAGAGTGTGTGCCCGGAGAGCAGTGGGTCGGTGGTTTTATCTCATGACTGCCTCTGTGGTCTTGTGGATAGAGTGTGTGCCAGGAGAGCAGTGGGTCGGTGGTTTTATCCCATGGCTGCCTCTGTGGTCTTGTGGATAGAGTGTGTGCCAGGAGAGCAGTGGGTTGGTGGTTTTATCCCATGGCTGCCTCTGTGGTCTTGTGGGTAGAGTGTGTGCCAGGAGAGCAGTGGGTCGGTGGTTTTATCCCATGGCTGCCTCTGTGGTCTTGTGGATAGAGTGTGTGCCAGGAGAGCAGTGGGTTGGTGGTTTTATCTCATGACTGCCTCTGTGGTCTTGTGGATAGAGTGTGTGCCAGGAGAGCAGTTGGTCGGTGGTTTTATCCCACGGCTGCCTCTGTGGTCTTGTGGATAGATTGTGTGCCAGGAGAGCAGTGGGTCGGTGGTTTTATCCCATGGCTGCCTCTGTGGTCTTGTGGATAGAGTGTGTGCCCGGAGAGCAGTGGGTTGGTGGTTTTATCTCATGACTGCCTCTGTGGTCTTGTGGATAGAGTGTGTGCCAGGAGAGCAGTGGGTTGGTGGTTTTATCCCATGGCTGCCTCTGTGGTCTTGTGGATAGAGTGTGTGCCCGGAGAGCAGTGGGTTGGTGGTTTATCTCATGGCTGCCTCTGTGGTCTTGTGGATAGAGTGTGTGCCCGGAGAGCAGTGGGTTGGTGGTTTTATCTCATGGCTGCCTCTGTGGTCTTGTGGATAGAGTGTGTGCCCGGAGAGCAGTGGGTTGGTGGTTTTATCTCATGACTGCCTCTGTGGTCTTGTGGATAGAGTGTGTGCCAGGAGAGCAGTGGGTTGGTGGTTTTATCCCATGGCTGCCTCTGTGGTCTTGTGGATAGAGTGTGTGCCAGGAGAGCAGTGGGTTGGTGGTTTTATCTCATGACTGCCTCTGTGGTCTTGTGGATAGAGTGTGTGCCCGGAGAGCAGTGGGTCGGTGGTTTTATCCCACGGCTGCCTCTGTGGTCTTGTGGATAGATTGTGTGCCAGGAGAGCAGTGGGTCGGTGGTTTTATCCCACGGCTGCCTCTGTGGTCTTGTGGATAGAGTGTGTGCCAGGAGAGCATTGGGTCGGTGGTTTTATCCCATGGCTGCCTCTGTGGTCTTGTGGATAGATTGTGTGCCAGGAGAGCAGTGGGTCGGTGATTTTATCTCATGACTGCCTCTGTGGTCTTGTGGATAGAGTGTGTGCCCGGAGAGCAGTGGGTTGGTGGTTTTATCCCATGGCTGCCTCTGTGGTCTTGTGGATAGATTGTGTGCCAGGAGAGCAGTGGGTCGGTGATTTTATCTCATGACTGCCTCTGTGGTCTTGTGGATAGAGTGTGTGCCAGGAGAGCAGTGGGTTGGTGGTTTTATCCCATGGCTGCCTCTGTGGTCTTGTGGATAGAGTGTGTGCCAGGAGAGCAGTGGGTTGGTGGTTTTATCCCATGGCTGCCTCTGTGGTCTTGTGGATAGAGTGTGTGCCAGGAGAGCAGTGGGTTGGTGGTTTTATCCCATGGCTGCCTCTGTGGTCTTGTGGATAGAGTGTGTGCCCGGAGAGCAGTGGGTTGGTGGTTTTATCTCATGGCTGCCTCTGTGGTCTTGTGGATAGAGTGTGTGCCCGGAGAGCAGTGGGTCGGTGGTTTTATCCCATGGCTGCCTCTGTGGTCTTGTGGATAGAGTGTGTGCCCGGAGAGCAGTGGGTCGGTGGTTTTATCCCATGGCTGCCTCTGTGGTCTTGTGGATAGATTGTGTGCCAGGAGAGCAGTGGGTCGGTGATTTTATCTGATGACTGCCTCTGTGGTCTTGTGGATAGAGTGTGTGCCAGGAGAGCAGTGGGTTGGTGGTTTTATCCCATGGCTGCCTCTGTGGTCTTGTGGATAGAGTGTGTGCCAGGAGAGCAGTGGGTTGGTGGTTTTATCCCATGGCTGCCTCTGTGGTCTTGTGGATAGAGTGTGTGCCCGGAGAGCAGTTGGTCGGTGGTTTTATCCCATGGCTGCCTCTGTGGTCTTGTGGATAGATTGTGTGCCAGGAGAGCAGTGGGTCGGTGATTTTATCTCATGACTGCCTCTGTGGTCTTGTGGATAGAGTGTGTGCCAGGAGAGCAGTGGGTTGGTGGTTTTATCCCATGGCTGCCTCTGTGGTCTTGTGGATAGATTGTGTGCCAGGAGAGCAGTGGGTCGGTGATTTTATCTCATGACTGCCTCTGTGGTCTTGTGGATAGAGTGTGTGCCAGGAGAGCAGTGGGTTGGTGGTTTTATACCATGGCTGCCTCTGTGGTCTTGTGGATAGAGTGTGTGCCAGGAGAGCAGTGGGTTGGTGGTTTTATCCCATGGCTGCCTCTGTGGTCTTGTGGATAGAGTGTGTGCCAGGAGAGCAGTGGGTTGGTGGTTTTATCCCATGGCTGCCTCTGTGGTCTTGTGGATAGAGTGTGTGCCCGGAGAGCAGTGGGTTGGTGGTTTTATCTCATGGCTGCCTCTGTGGTCTTGTGGATAGAATGTGTGCCCGGAGAGCAGTGGGTCGGTGGTTTTATCCCATGGCTGCCTCTGTGGTCTTGTGGATAGAGTGTGTGCCCGGAGAGCAGTTGGTCGGTGGTTTTATCCCATGGCTGCCTCTGTGGTCTTGTGGATAGATTGTGTGCCAGGAGAGCAGTGGGTCGGTGATTTTATCTCATGACTGCCTCTGTGGTCTTGTGGATAGAGTGTGTGCCAGGAGAGCAGTGGGTTGGTGGTTTTATCCCATGGCTGCCTCTGTGGTCTTGTGGATAGAGTGTGTGCCAGGAGAGCAGTGGGTTGGTGGTTTTATCCCATGGCTGCCTCTGTGGTCTTGTGGATAGAGTGTGTGCCCGGAGAGCAGTTGGTCGGTGGTTTTATCCCATGGCTGCCTCTGTGGTCTTGTGGATAGATTGTGTGCCAGGAGAGCAGTGGGTCGGTGATTTTATCTCATGACTGCCTCTGTGGTCTTGTGGATAGAGTGTGTGCCAGGAGAGCAGTGGGTTGGTGGTTTTATCCCATGGCTGCCTCTGTGGTCTTGTGGATAGAGTGTGTGCCCGGAGAGCAGTGGGTTGGTGGTTTTATCTTATGGCTGCCTCTGTGGTCTTGTGGATAGAGTGTGTGCCCGGAGAGCAGTGGGTTGGTGGTTTTATCTCATGGCTGCCTCTGTGGTCTTGTGGATAGAGTGTGTGCCAGGAGAGCAGTGGGTTGGTGGTTTTATCTCATGACTGCCTCTGTGGTCTTGTGGATAGAGTGTGTGCCAGGAGAGCAGTGGGTTGGTGGTTTTATCCCATGGCTGCCTCTGTGGTCTTGTGGATAGATTGTGTGCCAGGAGAGCAGTGGGTTGGTGGTTTTATCTCATGACTGCCTCTGTGGTCTTGTGGATAGAGTGTGTGCCCGGAGAGCAGTGGGTCGGTGGTTTTATCCCACGGCTGCCTCTGTGGTCTTGTGGATAGATTGTGTGCCAGGAGAGCAGTGGGTCGGTGGTTTTATCCCACGGCTGCCTCTGTGGTCTTGTGGATAGAGTGTGTGCCAGGAGAGCATTGGGTCGGTGGTTTTATCCCATGGCTGCCTCTGTGGTCTTGTGGATAGATTGTGTGCCAGGAGAGCAGTGGGTCGGTGATTTTATCTCATGACTGCCTCTGTGGTCTTGTGGATAGAGTGTGTGCCAGGAGAGCAGTGGGTTGGTGGTTTTATCCCATGGCTGCCTCTGTGGTCTTGTGGATAGAGTGTGTGCCAGGAGAGCAGTGGGTTGGTGGTTTTATCCCATGGCTGCCTCTGTGGTCTTGTGGATAGAGTGTGTGCCAGGAGAGCAGTGGGTTGGTGGTTTTATCCCATGGCTGCCTCTGTGGTCTTGTGGATAGAGTGTGTGCCCGGAGAGCAGTGGGTTGGTGGTTTTATCTCATGGCTGCCTCTGTGGTCTTGTGGATAGAGTGTGTGCCAGGAGAGCAGTGGGTCGGTGGTTTTATCCCATGGCTGCCTCTGTGGTCTTGTGGATAGAGTGTGTGCCCGGAGAGCAGTGGGTCGGTGGTTTTATCCCATGGCTGCCTCTGTGGTCTTGTGGATAGATTGTGTGCCAGGAGAGCAGTGGGTTGGTGATTTTATCTGATGACTGCCTCTGTGGTCTTGTGGATAGAGTGTGTGCCAGGAGAGCAGTGGGTTGGTGGTTTTATCCCATGGCTGCCTCTGTGGTCTTGTGGATAGAGTGTGTGCCAGGAGAGCAGTGGGTTGGTGGTTTTATCCCATGGCTGCCTCTGTGGTCTTGTGGATAGAGTGTGTGCCAGGAGAGCAGTGGGTCGGTGGTTTTATCCCATGGCTGCCTCTGTGGTCTTGTGGATAGAGTGTGTGCCAGGAGAGCAGTGGGTCGGTGATTTTATCTCATGACTGCCTCTGTGGTCTTGTGGATAGAGTGTGTGCCAGGAGAGCAGTGGGTTGGTGGTTTTATCCCATGGCTGCCTCTGTGGTCTTGTGGATAGAGTGTGTGCCCGGAGAGCAGTGGGTCGGTGGTTTTATCCCATGGCTGCCTCTGTGGTCTTGTGGATAGAGTGTGTGCCAGGAGAGCAGTGGGTCGGTGATTTTATCTCATGACTGCCTCTGTGGTCTTGTGGATAGAGTGTGTGCCAGGAGAGCAGTGGGTTGGTGGTTTTATCCCATGGCTGCCTCTGTGGTCTTGTGGATAGAGTGTGTGCCAGGAGAGCAGTGGGTTGGTGGTTTTATCCCATGGCTGCCTCTGTGGTCTTGTGGATAGAGTGTGTGCCAGGAGAGCAGTGGGTCGGTGGTTTTATCCCATGGCTGCCTCTGTGGTCTTGTGGATAGAGTGTGTGCCTGGATAGCAGTGGGTTGGTGGTTTTATCCCATGGCTGCCTCTGTGGTCTTGTGGATAGATTGTGTGCCCGGAGAGCAGTGGGTTGGTGGTTTTATCCCATGACTGCCTCTGTGCAGATGCATATGCATGCTCATCTCTTTAGAAGTGCAGTAATCTTGAACCTGACCTCATGTACGAGATACCATTGTTTACTAATAACCATGGTGTCATCTGTCACTGTTTCAGATCTTTGTGCAAGGTCTGCAGAACATGAACCGTGCTGTCCATGACGATATTGTCGCAGTAGAGATGTTGCCAGAAGAGGAGTGGAGTTGTCCATCATCCCTGGTGCTGCAAGACGAGGCTGACAAGACTTTGGAAGAGGAGGACCTAGCAGATGTGAGATACTGACGGGTGAACCATTCATCCCTGAGGGGTGGGGATCAGTGGGTCACTCCCGAAAATATCAAGCTGTGGCCATTTAGGAGAAAAATGTAGAATTATGTTACAGTACTAAATTGAACGACAGTTACCACCAGTACGGCTGATTCCTTTGAAATTATGGTCTATCTCTCGCTGCCCTGGGATAAACATTTGAACGGAGGATGCATTGCACAGTACGTGGGAAGCTCTGTTACAATCGCAACCATATATTAGAAATTCCGGACTGTTTGTTTGTTCAGTTTTCAAAATTTTAATCCGGAACTTTGTCAACATATTTTTCAAGCGTAGTCTGAAATGGAAGTTGCCAGGTTGAAACGACTGCTGTAAAGCTCGAGAAAGCTGCTTTCTAATTGGCTGATGTTGACTTCTTGTCAGTAATTCCATTGGTTGGTCAAAGTTCGCGAAAGGTCATTCTGACTTGACCCGTAATGGGATGTCCTCAGATCTTTGTTAAGCGGCAGCGAGAACTTAGATCTGATTTTAATGAGATTGTTACATACATAGACTTAAGACAATCGGAACGTGACAACCATATTTTTTAACGAGGCCCTTATGCTAAGCATCATTGTTTATATGAGTAAAAGATCTGACTTTATTGTCCCTTTGGGTTTGTAATATCCCGAGTTGATGGATGTGATGCAAAGTTCATTAGATAAAATTACAGATATATGTCCTGATGTAATAATGGGTTTTCAAGGAAAAACTGGAGAAGAACAAAGTTCCAAAGGATCTGCGACAGCCGACCGCGAGGATTGTGGGTATTATCCAGAGAAAATGGCGTCAGTACTGTGGGATGCTGAGACCGTCACAGCTCAAGGAGGTAGACATCCATATCAGTTTCATTTTGTCCTGTGTCACTTGTTGTTGAACGTCCTGGGAAGATGGGGATCAAAATGATGAACTACAAAATATAGTGGATGCTTACAGTGTATGGGATAACTAAGTGTGTCATGGCTCCCAGAGTGCGGATCATTAGTCGACATTGGCATGTTTAATTATTTACAAGGCTGATAAAGCTGTGTTGTTGCTGAATGCTAACCAGTTTTCGAAATATACATTGGCCCGTAGGCCTGAGGCAGACAGATTTGTTCTCGGGCTGATAGTTTTAAATTGCAGCAGGCCCTTACACCCTGCAGTTTATTTAAGTAATTATTTATTAAGCATTATTTTAGTAATGTGATAAACATAACTTTCATATTTATAAACAGTAGGGTTAGACCTTTCAAATGGTGTATGACATCGCTGATAATTTGATAAGTTGATAATTTCCTGATAAATGTAGGCTTCATTTATCACCACTGAGTCTCTGGGAACTCAGTGTGATAGCAGTGAAAGCTTCTGGTTAACTGGTTGTGTAATTTATATTGCAAAAGTATGTCTTCCTGCTTCAGCTAAAATGTTTTGGCCTACAGTTTTTCAACTTAAGGCTCTCAGCTTACTCTGCTGAGTTTCAGACACTGTTGCTAACCTTATGTCGATATCCATATCAGGGCCCGATTCCACAAAGCAATCATAGTGCAAAGATCATCATAACTCCCATGATAGACATGCGTAATCATAGCGCATAGATTGCTTTGTGCAACGGGGCCCAGGGTCATAGCTAAAGGAAACTGAGATGTAAGCAATCACGTTACAGAACATTTTTTTCTTTAACCCTAATGGCGCTTATTATCGAACACAAGTAGGCCTGTACAGTACATGTGACACAGAGATATCCCTAGAGACCCGTGAAGATCAGGGATAGAACAGGTCCTCAGCAACCCATGCTTGCCGTAAAAGGCGACTTTGCTTGTCGTAGGAGGCGACTAACGGGATCGGGTGGTCAGGCTAGCTAACTTGGTTATGCATGTCAGCGTTTCCCAATTTTGTGGATCGATGCTCATGATGTCAATCACTGGATTGTCTGGTCCAGACTCGATTATTTACAGACCACCGTCATATAGCTGTAATAATGCTGAGTGCGGCGTAAAACAACAAACAAAGATGTCACAAGAACTTATGCAACAAGCCAACACAACAATATCTAACCAAATCCTCGATGACAATTTTCGCACTGCTAGCCGGGTCAGTTTGTTAATTAACCAAAGCTTTTGTGACTATAAGCATGATAACAAACGACTGAAGGAACACACAAGGATACATTTTTAAAACTATATTCTATTTTACTTTTGTAACAAATTCAAAGTGTTCGCACTTGCTTTTTGTGCTATGTTGTAGCTATAACACTGGTCACTATATGTCAATATTTCAGAGTCGCCGCCACCTGTTTGTCCCTGCGGAGAAACGTATTCCCAGGATACGTATAGAGACCCGTCAAGCTGAACAGCTAGCAGGTCAACGGATCATTGTTGCCATTGACAACTGGCCCAAGAACTCCCGGTATCCACAGGTAAAATGTGAAAACATCTTTCTGTCTTATCATGGGAGGGGATGTAGAAACACAGGAATACAGTTAGAAACGTAATACAATTGGCTCTTAAGTGACAGACAAAAATTCTGCTATATGGATGTATCTGAATCAATATCAAACAGGATCCTGTGACTTGCTGAACAAGTAACAAGGGACCCTAACTAGCTTGACCATTACAGCTTCAGACCATTCCTGTTTTGATCTTTCATGTGTGACTCCTGAATAAGAATACAGTGGTCCCTCGCTACAACGCTACCAATGGGGTCCAAATAATTGGTGGGCGTTATAGACGATGAGCCGTTTAACCGAGGCCGAGGCGGGGGAGCGCGCTTGGCCAATCTCACGATCTTCGCCTTGTCTCGCACATTGCAATGATACAAGTTGTTTACCGTTCATAGTATAAAAATATATATCCATTATGTTTTCGCCATTTGTTATTATTTACAAGCCTTAACTGTCACATTCAATGTGAATGTAGTCTACTTACATGAAAATATCGATCGATAATGGTAGTAACAGATGCTATGAGTGAAGAGCCAATCACAATTCATTACACAAGTACAGAGTGATGCAGTGGCATTGATTGGTCACGTTGCTTAAAATACGGAAAACGAGAGTTTTGACCAGGACTACGCGCATTCATACACATTCATGCAAATATAGATACACATTCAAGCCAGATTAATTGGTTTGATACGGTTACTTGATCCGAATCAAAAGGAATGACCGCCGTGTTGTGACAGCAACTACATGTGAGTTGACAGTGTCGCCTCAAATTGGATTGCCCACTAATTAAGAAAATAAACTTCGCTTGTGGTTCTCTTTTATTGCATGCATGCGCTTCTAAGATCAAAAGGATGTATAGTGTGAAAAGTTAACTAGTAGAACGATCGTATTTCTGGGACTTGCCGCGGATGTTTTCAAACAGATTATTAGAACTCCATTCAGCGATAAACGGTTGATTATGCAATGAGAAGCGTTATGTGCAAATGAACAACGAACAACAATACAATCACGGCTGTGTAAAACTCTCAGTATTAAAAGTGTACCTTTTTTTTTTTGAGCCATGCGATACCGCGCGTAGTAACCGAGGTAGCGCTTTATCGAAGAGCCCAATAGTGAGGGATCTTGTATTACATACAATGTTAATACTTAATTTTTTAATTTTTTTTATCGAAATAGTTATTTGTTTGACAATTTGCACTGAGTTACTGGTGGAGGGGGTGGGGGGAGCTAGTGAGGGGGTGAGGGGTAGGTGGAAGGGGTGGGGCGAGCTAGTGAGGGGGCTGGTGGAGGGGGTGGGGGAGCTCATGAGGGCAGCGTTAGAAATTGGCACTAATCCTGTAGTCCTTACCAAACTGCCCAATAGTAAAGGTATCCTAAGGACTAGTAGAAATTTGCCCATTTAAGGGTTTTGCTATATGTTATCATTATTAGGACTAGTGGACAAAAACTGTTAGTTTCTTACCCTGGAGGGGGATGGGGGAGGGGCTGGGGGTAGCTAGTGAGGGGGCTGGAGGATGGGATGGAGGGAGCTAGTGAGGGGGCTGGGATTTTATAAAAAAACAAACTGTCCCCCATAATTCTTGAAAACAATAAGTAAGCTTGAGACTGTTGAAAAAGAAAAGAAATTGCCTCCCACAAAAGTCCATGGCAGCAAAGTGTTCAGGCTCATGCTGCATGGATGTCTACAGGTGGAAGTATATTCCTCTTGTACAGATGTGTTTAGGATATGTGTGGTGCCAGTGTGTCAACAGTCGAACCAGCCTGGCTCGCTAGATTATGTCAGGCCACTTTTAGACTTGAGTAGCCATGTGTTGTTTTTTAAACTACCAAATACAAGGGGAAGGTTGGTTGAAGAGAGAGAACATTATTTTCAAATTTCAACAAGATTAGAACTTCAATCTGGATCGATATCAAACAGGGTTCTGTCCCTTGCTGAACTAGTAACATGGGACCCTAACTAGCTTGACAACAATATAGCTTCTGACCATTCCTGTTTTGATCTTTCATATGTCACAGTTGAAGAACAATATTACATAGATACAATACTAGACAGAAAATTTAGCTAGCCAGTCAGTCAAGTTTGATTTGATTGTCGTTGGCCAGAAAGAGAACGAAATAGCCATGGGAGTCCGAGCAGGTGCTTAGTTTGCACCCTGTGTGGTTCGGAATACAACACATTTTTTCATTATCTGTGTAGATGTATTGGGGACATTTCAATGTAAAGTAAACATTGTTAATGAAAATAAAACCATGAGCTAGTTTGCAATTGTTGTACCAGGTTTAATGTTATTGGGACAGTTAAAGTAGGTTTTGAATACTAGCATGGCTGTTGCAAGAGGTGTACCAAAGTTTAATGTTAACATGAATACATGACTTTTACAAACACACTGCAATTGTTGAACCCACAGGGGTTGAAATCAGTAATTATGTAGCTGCAGATGAAAACATGTCTTTTCTCAAAACAACATCCAAGGTCAAGGTCAAATATAAAATGGTGGTCCCTTAGTTTGGCATCCTAGATAAATCATCATCATCATCGTCGTCATCATCATCATCATCATCATCATCATCATCATCATCATCATCATGATAATGATGATGTAAGTAAGTGAAGCCTGTCGACCAATACATGCTTCTCTGTGTGCAGGGCCACTTTGTGAGAAAGCTGGGTGCTGTGGGGGACAAGGAGACGGAGAACGAGGTGCTACTGCTCGAACATGATGTCCCACATTCCAACTTCTCCGAGACTGTGCTCAGCTTCCTGCCCAAGGTGCCCTGGAGTATCTCAGAGGATGTGAGTTGATTCACGTGCGCATGCGCAGCTCAAGGGGTGCATTCGGGTCCTTTCTATCCTCTGGGGACACAGTTCTAAAATTTTCCCTACCTTTTCCCCCCTAAAGAGGGAGATAAGGAATTAGTATAACTCTAAAAACTACAATTCTGTATCATGGTATATATTGTGTCATGACATCAGTATCATGATAGCCCATTATGATCCAGGGTAGAATAGGTCTTTAGCAACCCATGCTTGCGGTAAAAGGCTACTATGCTTGTCGTAAGAGGCAACTAACGGGATCGGGTGGTCAGGCTCGCTGACTTGGTTGATACATGTCGTCGTATCCAAATTGTGTGGATTGATGCTCATGATATCAATCACTGAATTGCCTGGTCCTGACTCAATTATTTACAGACCGCCATCATATAGCTGGAATATTGCAAGTGCGGCATTAAACAACAAACAAACAAACAAACAAAAGTATCATGATATGCTCTGTGTCAAGACTTGTGTCTTTCCCAGACCCAATGGACCCGTGAAGATTCCGGGGTAGAATATATCTTCAGCAACCCATGCTTGCCATAAAAGGTGACTATGCTTGTCGTAAAAGGCGACTAACGGGATTGGGTGGTCAGGCTCGCTGACTTGGTTGATACATGTCGTTGTATCCCAATTGTGTGGATTGATGCTCATGATATCAATCACTGGATTGCCTGGTCAAGACTCGTTTATTTACAGACCGCCATCATATAAATTAAACAACAAACAAACAAACAAACAAATCATGATATCATGATATGCTCTGTATCAAGACTTGTGTCTTTTCCCAGACCCAATGTCATGTTGCTGTTGTCTTCCATACAGGACATGAAGCATCGCCAGGACCTGCGTCACATCACCGTGTGTAGCGTCGACCCTCCCGGCTGTACCGACATTGACGATGCTCTCCACTGTCGCAACCTGGACAACGGCAACCTGGAGGTATGTTGATCCCTCAGTCATCATCATGATCATCATATGATCATTGTTATCATGGTTAGTGCGCTAAATTACAATATTTGCATCTTGAAGACGTTTGCAGTCATCATACTGTCAGCCTATATATATGTAGAGATCAGAGTTTGCAAGGTTTATGTACTCTGTAGGATATCAAACTTCATTCACCAAGTTCAAGGGGAGGTAAATGCCGTTGCACCTTCAGTGTGCATTGTGTGGGGTGTGTGAGATCTCATTGCATGGAGCTTGGGGAATTGCATGTGCACAATAAAGTCTTGATTGTTGAAATGCTTGGATGAAATGGGTGCTTGTGTTTGTTATACAAAAAGTATGCACTGAAAAAGAATCATTCACGATGCAACTTTGAATTTGTTATGTCTAGAAGGCTCAATGTTCATATGCCAGCTAGTGCTGTATTTTTCATGCATGCCCGGCTACCTTCACATTGGAATATTTGTCCTGTCCTTGGTGGGTAAACAGAAAAAAGTAGATGTTCAGAAAATTTCATTTATCTGTTTGGTGAGAATTACCGTCCGGTGCTAATTGCAGTATTTCCTATGATCAATATAAAATGAGATTTTTTTTCTCCATTTCTAGGTTGGAGTACATATTGCTGATGTGTCACATTTTATCCGTCCTGGCAATGCACTGGACAAGGAGGCTGCTAACAGGGGAACCACGGTTTACCTCACTGACCGGGTGAGTAGAACTCAGTAGTTGGTAGGCGGGTGAGTAGAACTCAGTAGAAGTAGATCGGGTGAGTAGAACTCAGTAGTTGGTAGGCGGGTGAGTAGAACTCAGTAGAAGTAGATCGGGTGAGTAGAACTCAGTAGTTGGTAGGCGGGTGAGTAGAACTCAGTAGAAGTAGATCGTGAGAGTAGAACTCAGTTGAAGAAGATCGGGTGAGTAACACTCGGTAGAAGTAGAATGGGTGAGTAGTTCTTGTAGATCGGGTGAGTAGAACTCAGTAGAAGTAGATCGGGTGAGTAGAACTCAGTAGAAGTAGATCGGGTGAGTAGAACTCAGTAGAAGTAGATCGGGTGAGTAGAACTCAGTAGAAGTTTGGCAGGTGAGTAGAACTCAGTAGAAGTAGATCGTGAGAGTAGAACTCAGTAGAAGAAGATCGGGTGAGTAACACTCGGTAGAAGTAGAATGGGTGAGTAGTTCTTGTAGATCGGGTGAGTAGAACTCAGTAGAAGTAGATCGGGTGAGTAGAACTCAGTAGAAGTAGATCCGGCTAGTAAAACTCAGTAGAAGTAAATCCTGTTGAAGTGTTTGTCAAATTGGTTGTTTCAATGTGGTAACTGTGATTTGATATAAATCTTCCTTCCAGAGAATCGACATGGTGCCAGAACTACTCAGTTCCAACCTGTGCTCCTTGAGGTGCAATGTAGACAGGTCAGTGTAACCATGGTAACTGATGCCAAATTTGTTGGCAATGCCTCAGCCAAACATCCATGAATATCATGATTTAGTTTTAATGGAAAATGTACTTGAGAAATGCACTTTTTTGGCTCCGACAAGAAAACAATTTTCCCCTTTTCCGCCTTCAAACACCAATGAAGCAATAATTTAGTTAATACCTCTTACATTAAAATATTAATTTTAGTCATGTTGGCATGTTATATACAATATGTAGACTCTTCTCTGAATTGAATTGACCAATGTGAGGCGACATATTATGTGGGAGATATTTCCCTATTATCCCGTGTACCTGTTGATAACGTGAGACTGTTGTTCTCTGGTCAGGCTGGCCTTCTCTGTGCTGTGGGAGATGACTCAAGATGGGAACATCCTGAACACCACCTTCACCAAGAGCGTCATTGACTCAAAGGTACACACCAACTCACTCACTCACTCACTCACTCACTCACTCACTCACTCACTCACTCCACCATCTCACTCACTCACTCCACCATCTCACTCACTCACTCCACCATCTCACTCACTCACTCCACCATCTCACTCACTCACTCCACCATCTCACTCACTCCACCATCTCACTCACTCACTCCACCATCTCACTCACTCACACACTCACACACTCACTCACTCCACCATCTCACTCACTCACTCCACCATCTCACTCACTCCACCATCTCACTGTCGTTCCTTCCTTCCAGGCTTCCCTGACATATGCCGAGGCCCAGATGAAGATAGATGATCCGACTTTGACGGATGAACTTACAGTCAGTTTACGAGGCTTAAACAGACTTGCCAAAATCTTGAAAAGACGAAGAATTGAAAATGGGTTCGACAATCATTTGTTATCAGTACTTATCGCCCAGCCAAATAATATCTGACAAGGGATATAGACGTGAGCTCTGTTTTCCCTTCAGGAAAATATCTGATAAACCATTCAGTATTGTTTTGTCAAACTTTGTACACAAATTAGAGCTGGACAGTGTCTTTTATAGTTAGAGTTTTTTTCCTACATTTGTTGACTGGTGCCGCTCTTGACTAGTGAGTGAGTGGAGTTTAACGCCGCTTTTAACAGTATTCCAGTTATATCGCTGTGTGTCAGCTTAATGTGGGAGGAAAGCCCGAAGTGATGCAGGTCTCAGACGTTTACCCCTTCGGTGAAACCCACGAGCATGAATATGGTACTGACAAACCTAAAAACATAATTGGGGTGAACCGGGATTCGAACCCACAATCCTAAGTTTCTGGCATGCCCAAGGGACGCAACTCTGCACAGCGAATCGTGGTGCCTTAGATGCCCCGCTCCCCCCTCCTGACTAAAATTCTACGCATTGTTTCAAGGTTTGTTATCAAAGCTGTATTGATGGTGTTAGTGTATATTTTCAGTGCACTGAGTTTAGCCTCCACAGAGATCCGCTTCTATGTGGACAGTGAAACCCACGACCCTATAGAGGTGCAGACTAAGGAGCTCAGGTGAGTCTGGAGAGTAGGACAGCCACCTCAATTGAGGATTGGGTGGTTATGATGTCAATTGCCAATTATTGATGGCTGTCCCCCATTCTTTTGTCAAACTATGTAACACTGTGTATGTGATCCAATTGTAACAACTGATTTGAATAAATAAAAAAAATAAAAAATGTTATTGATGGCTGTTAAAGAAATCAACCACTGGTCTGCTTGGCTGAGACATTGCTGGAATATCGCTATTGTGGTGCTGAACAGTGTTGATACTTTCATAGCGATGGGGTAGCCTAGTGGAGGGCTGCATGAAAGAAATACACGAAAGAACGAATCTGATACAGTGTGTGCTGACATCAGGCAAAGTATGTACTTGTTGTGTGTTGGCTCAGTGTCCTATGTCAGCTGTAAGGAATGCATCCTATCTGTGTACAGCTGTTAGGAATGCATCCTCTCTATGTACAGCTGCTAGAAATGCACCCTCTATGTACAGCTGTTAGGAATGCACCCTCTGTATACAACTGCCAGGAATGCATCCTCTATGTACAGCTGCTAGGAATGCCTATCTATGTACAGCTGCTAGGAATGCCTCCTCTATGTACAGCTGTTAGGAATGCCCCCTCTGTATACAGCTGCAAGGAATGCATCCTCTATGTACAGCTGTTACGAATGCATCCTGTGTGTGTACAGCTGTTAGGAATGCATCCTGTGTGTACAGCTGTTAGGAATGCATCCTGTGTGTGTACAGCTGTTAGCAATGCATCCTCTGTGTGTACAGCTGCTAGGAATGCATCCTCTGTGTGTACAGTTGCTAGGAATGCATCCTCTGTGTGTACAGCTGCTAGGAATACACCCTATGTACAGCTGTTAGGAATGCCTCCTCTCCAGTTAAAGCTGTAATTCAGACACTGTGTACCATGTTCCACAGGGAGACCAACTCCATGGTTGAGGAGTTCATGTTGCTGGCTAACATATCTGTTGCGGAGAAGACCCTCCAGGAATTCCCGGACTGTGCCATGCTCCGACGCCATCCTGCTCCTCCTCCTTCCAACTTCGAACCCGTCATCAGAGCTGCCAAGTCCAAGGTAGGGGAGAAGACACCAGCCACAAAAGTCCAACTTATTCTAGTCTAAACTGACATTGTTTAGAACCACATGAAAAGTTCATACACCAAGATGTAATCTGTTTTGTTTCTGACCAATCACCTTGTGTGCTATTTTAGGTACTGACAAATATTTTTAACTTTTGTTGTGTGTTTTGTTGTTTTTAGGATCTGGACCTTGTTGTGTCATCGGGGAAGGAACTTGCAGACAGCCTGGACAAAGCTGTGTTTCCCGACCAGCCGTTCTTCAACACCATGCTGCGCATCATGACCACACGCTGCATGATGCAGGCCGTCTACTTCAGCAGCGGGACGCTGCCAGTCGAGGAGTTCCAGCACTACGGCCTGGCTACCCCCATCTACACCCACTTTACGTCTCCCATCAGAAGGTACCCCCATCTACACCCACTTTACGTCTCCCATCAGAAGGTACCCCCATCTACACCCACTTTACGTCTCCCATCAGAAGGTACCCCCATCTACACCCACTTTACGTCTCCCATCAGAAGGTACCCCCATCTACACCCACTTTACATCTCCCATCAGAAGGTATCCCCATCTACACCCTCTTTACGTCTCCCATCAGAAGGTACCCCCATCTACACCCTCTTTACGTCTCCCATCAGAAGGTACCCCTATCTACACCAACATTACGTCTCCCATCAGAAGGTACCCCCATCTACACCCACTTTACGTCTCCCATCAGAAGGTACCCCCATCTACACCCACTTTACGTCTCCCATCAGAAGGTACCCCCATCTACACCCACTTTACGTCTCCCATCAGAAGGTACCCCCATCTACACCCTCTTTACGTCTCCCATCAGAAGGTACCTCCATCTACACCCACTTTACGTCTCCCATCAGAAGGTACCCCCAGCTACACCCACTTTACGTCTCCCATCAGAAGGTACCCCCATCTACACCCACTTTACGTCTCCCATCAGAAGGTACCTCCATCTACACCCACTTTACGTCTCCCATCAGAAGGCACCCCCATTTACACCAACATTACGTCTCCCATCAGAAGGTACCCCCATCTACACCCACTTTACGTCTCCCATCAGAAGGTACCCCCATCTACACCCACTTTACGTCTCCCATCAGAAGGTACCCCCATCTACACCCACTTTACGTCTCCCATCAGAAGGTACGCCCATCTACACCCACTTTACGTCTCCCATCAGAAGGTAACACAAATATAGTGTTCTATTTATTTCCAAAAAAGATGTCTACATACAGAGACAAATTTTAGCAAGTAGCAACAGCAGTGAAACCACAATTTGTCAAATGACGTCAACAATCTTCAGCTATGACGTCGTTTCTAGTAGGACGTCATTCCCACCTCACGTCACAATAAGATTCGAATGACGTCAACAATGCCATCAAGATGACGGAAACAATACACTGTTGTAGGTAATAAATGTACAGAATGTGACATGCTTTTCACCTTTTATAAGCAATAGGCTATTTGAATTTTGATTCGAATAGTTTGACAGATACCTGATGCTGTTCCTGTCTGCCTGTAATCTATTGAATAACAAGATAACTGGGTGCCTGCAGTGGTATATCTTTACACTCATCCTTGCTTGTGTGCCAGGTATTCCGACATCATCGTGCACCGGCTGCTGGCAGTGTGTATTGGAGCAGATGCTTCGTACCCAGCACTCCTTGAAAAGCACAAAACACAGGTATGGTGTTCCTAGCTCACTATGACAAGGTCATTGCCCTTGGCAGCAACAATGAAACACGGTCAATGGCATACCTGTTAAATTAAATCAAGGGATGTGGAATAGATGTAATATTACTGGTCATGACTTAATGTAACATTGAATCACGGGCCATGGAATAGATGTAATATTACTGGTCATGACTTAATGTAACATTGAATCACGGGCCATGGCATTGATGTAATATTACTGGTCATGACTTAATGTAACATTGAATCACGGGCCATGGAATAGATGTAATATTACTGGTCATGACTTAATGTAACATTGAATCATGGGCCATGGCATAGATGTAATATTACTGGTCATGACTTAATGTAACATTGAATCACGGGCCATGGCAAAGATGTAATATTACTGGTCATGACTTAATGTAACATTGAATCACGGGCCATGGAATAGATGTAATATTACTGGTCATGACTTAATGTAACATTGAATCACGGGCCATGGCATAGATGTAATATTACTGGTCATGACTTTATGTAACATTGAATCACGGGCCATGGAATAGATGTAATATTACTGGTCATGACTTAATGTAACATTGAATCACGGGCCATGGCATAGATGTAATATTACTGGTCATGACTTAATGTTACCTTGAATCACGGGCCGTGGCATTAAGCAACATTCCTTCCCTCCCTTACATTGCCATTCAGGGATGTGTTTTTCTTCCAGTCCTTGTGTAACAACTTGAACTTCCGTCACAAGATGGCGCAGTATGCTGGCCGGGCTTCCGTCAACCTCCACACACATGTAAGTATTGTCACACTGAAGAATGGACTGTCTACCTCACATACCCAAACACTCGCATGCCATGGTTACAGTAGTCTATCAGTTGTTCTTCATGATCATGACTGTCTTCATGACATACCTCCACACAACTCTGTCATGTTACCATGGTTAAAATTGTCTATCAGTTGTTCTTAATGATCATGACTGTCTTCATGACAAACCTCCATACACCTCTGTCGTGTTACCATGGTTACAATTTTCTATCAGTTGTTCTTCATGATCATGACTGTCTTCATGACATACCTCCACACAACTCTGTCATGTTACCATGGTTAAAATTGTCTATCAGTTGTTCTTAATGACTGTCTACCTCACATACCTCCATACTGGTCTGTGGTGTTACCATGGTTAAAATTTTCTTTCAGTTATTCTGAATGACTGTCCACATCACATACATCATGTCTAAGGCACCGCGATTCGCTGTGCAGAGTTGCGTCCCTTGGGCACGCCAGAAACCTATAATTGTGGGTTCGAATCCCGGTTCGTCCCGATTATGTTTCTAGGTTTGTCAGCACCATACCCGTGCTCGTTGGTTTCACCGAAGTGGTAAACATCTGAGACCTGCATCACTTCAGGCTTTCCTCCCACATTAAGCTGACACGCCGCGATATAACTGGAATACTGTTAAAAGCGGCGTTAAACCCAACTCACTCACTCACACATACCTCCATACTGGTCTGTAGTGTTACCATGGTTACAATTGTCTTTCAGTTGTTCTTAATGACTGTCTACATCACATTACTCCACACTGCTCAAACTGGTCTGTTGTGTTACCATGGTTACAGTTGTCTTTCAGTTGTTCTTAATGACTGTCTACCTCACATACCTCCACACTGGTCTGTAGTGTTACCAATATTACAATTGTCTTTCAGTTGTTCTTCAAGAAGCGAGTTGAAGATGAAGATGGCTATGTGTTATTTGTCAGGAAGAATGCGTTGCAGGTTCTTATCCCAAAATATGGTCTTGAGGGGACACTCTTCCTCAAATCAGATGACAATGATGTCATGTTTACATTTAACGAGGAGGTAAGTGATGAAGTTCAACAACAGACTGACACAGATGATCTGTGTGTCATGGTTACCCAACAGCATGGGAAATAAAACGAAATGTGCGGAGTATGATGCAGGTGCATCTCCCTGAGGCAAGAGTGTCCTCTAGTCTTTTTATCATAGTCTTGTTTCCACCCTTGCCACATCAAGCCCACTTTTTCCTGTGCTAAATATGATTGGACTATCGCATATATCGACAGTCCAATCAGAAATCCCTTCACAAAATCAACATCCACGACTGGTACACTGATTTATCGCTGCCTGTCTTCGTTGACACCCCCACTCCCTTCCGAAACGATTGCCTATATTTTGAACTCGCGAATGTTTTTGATATCTGATCGACTTGGCCGTCGCCTATGGTAGTTGCCATCTTTGTGAAGCTGTTCGAGATAAGAACAGCGATCTGATTGGATGACGCGTTTTCATTATAAGGGGCACCACTCGTGATCTACGCGAGGTGGCGCCAGGGTCGAGTCAAGAGAAGTGGCCTTGATGTGGCAAGGGTAGAAAAAGTGGACACGCTTGCCTCAGGAAGATGGATGCAAGTGGTACCTGAGAACCAAGACCATTAATCTTTCTATCCCTGTCATGTTTTCAGATTTTCAGATTTTCAACAGACGTCTTCTTTACTGTCAATTACACAACTAGTTATTCCCAATTAGCATCGTTCTGGTGTCCCCCCTGTGATATTGCTGGAATATTGCTAAAAGCGGCGTAAAACCAAACTCACTCACTCACCAATTAGCATCGTAACCAATCAAGCTATGACGTATGCAATGGTGGGAACCTTCACTTATTCCCTGTGTGGGACAGTCAGGTAGCCTAGTGGTTAAAGCATTTGCTCGTCACGCCGAAGACCCAGGTTCGATTCCCGACATGGGTACAATGTGTGAAGCCCATTTCTGGCGTCTCCCGCCGTGGAATATTGGTAAAAGCGTTGTAAAACCATTCTCACTCACTCATCCCTGTGTGTGCTAGAGTCAACACCTATTATATATAGTTGCAATGATCTAACACTTGGTAGTTAGTCACATTAATCTAAGGTTATTCTAATAGTTTTCTATGAAACAGACACTGTAAGTACTTATTAATAAGGCTGTTTATAAATAATTGGAGTGACGATCACAGGCACATGAGTATAAGCTGGTGTTGGGTGCTTGCCGTGAGGTCATAATGGAGTCTCCCTCTACTCCCGGTTGCAAGAAGTATGGTCAGTTCATGATCACAGGAGATCCTCATCTTAACTGCACGAGGTGCAGAGGTACTTTATGTACCGAGGAAGTTAGGTGTTAGCAGTGCACCAACACTTCTAAGAAGACCTTCCAGAAGATAGCTGAGGCTATAATGAAGGCTAAGAGGCGGGAAGCAGCGAAGAAAAAAATAAAGGTCATCACGGCTACTGACACTGTTCAGGCCCCATCCGCTTCCCCAGCGCCTCCTTCCTCTACCCCCAGTCGACCAGCAGATCCATCTCCAGCATTCTCTATGAGCTTGATACATGATTTACTAAAACAGCAACAAGATATGATGAAAATTATGTTTGACACAAAGATTTCACAAATCAACAAAGAATTGGAGAAAATAGCAGCTCTGGCTAAGAAGAGTCCCCAGGTCAAGGGACCGCATGGGGGACAGCCATCTGCTACGGCCGTAGGGCCTACCCTAGCCGACCTTACCAACCAGACAATTAGCCAGCTAGTCAACCAGCCAGTACCACCAACCGATCAGCCATATGGCCGGCCTATCGACCAATCAGCCGTATGGCCAGCCGACTGATCAGCAGTCCGACCAGTCATCCGACAAGCCGGGTATTAGCCAGCAGACTTTTCCCTACCATGATACACGGTCAGATAGATCTTCGCTTGGGTCCCAACAGGGTACCGCAAGGCCAAACTCCCCAGCCAAGACACTGTACGGTCGCAACACGGCACCGACCGACAAGCTGTTCAATCAGCCAACCAGTAGGTCACAATACGGCTACAGCATGGACTCCATGGCTAATCCACCAACCGTCCAGTCGATAGGCTTAGCGTATGATCTTCATTAACAGACGGTACCCAAGCCAGCCGCACAGACTACACGGGACCGTCCAGCCGAACGTTATACTGGCCGAGAGGAGGATCACTTACGGGCAACTATCATAAACCGCACGGTCTTTGATCATACCAGAATCCAGGACACCAGCAGAGGATGAACTGCACTGGGATTACGTGGCGGATTACCATGATTATCCACAACCCACGGGAGCTACCCTATCGGAGGTTGAAGCAGAGTACTATGAAGATACCGACCAGCCTGACGACTCACCCCATCAGGATTATACGGAGGGATATACGTTTGTGGAACTCATCGAGGAATTATGTCACCTCCTGCCTGTACTCCAACCTCCTTGTGACAGACAATTCGCCAGCTAAGATGCCAGAAAATGGGGGATGTCAAGCTCCCTTTTCTTCTCAACACATCCACTAGACATTACCTTGGTCGAGCTATGCAGGCAAAGTTATAGACCAGATGTCTGAAAGTCTGCTCAAGCTTAGACATGAGGAACGCCATTGAAACAGAAGTTTTATAAGACACACAATGATCCAGTTCCGGATTATCCAAGTTTGGATGAAGATTTCTTGAAGCTAGTACGCAACACTGGTACCAATGTCCCGTTACCTGCTTTCGGTCTCCAGATATTCTATGGAAATGATGCCTTTTTGAATAAGACCTTGAGAGACGTCATTATCCAATAAAGGAGGTGACAAACCGGAAGTGACACACAAGCGGTAGTGATGTAAGCACCGGAAGTGACGTTAGCACCGGTATTAGTGTCACAAATCCAAATTTAACAAGAAAAACATCATTGGGTAGAAATAGATCAGAAATGACTTTATTATTACCAACAAGATCAGCAAATATAACTGTAATTCTAGTGAAGATATCACATATTTGACTGATTCCAATCTCATTAAAATCAGATCTTAGTTCTCGCTATCGCTAAACAAAGATCTGAGGACATCCCATTACGGGTCACGTCAGACCGACCTTGCGCGAATTTTGAACGACCATTTGAGGGACTGACAAGAAGTTGACATTAGCCAATCAGAAGGCAGCTTTCTTGTGCTTTACGGCACTAAATTCAAATTGGCAACTACACCTCGAAACATATTTTGACAAATTCTCGATTAAAATTTGAAACCTGAACAAAAGAACATTCTGGAATGGCAAATATATGGTCTAGATTGTATGGATTCAGTCGTTAAACCCGTAACTATTGTTCGGAATACCCTGTGTTTAAGTTTTCAGGGTTGCATGATTAGAAATCACATTCCGACTGTCACTTTCATGATCTGGTAATCAACGCTTTGATTGGTCGGATGAAAGGTAGTTCTGACGTGACCCCTGATGGGATGTCCTTAGATCTTTGTTAAGCGGTAGCGAGAACTAAGATCTGATTTTACTGAGATTGGACTGATTCTTGGGACTTTCTGATTTTCAAGTCCTTTAGGGGGATTCTCAGATGAAAATTATCTTGAGTTAGGATTAGAATCAGAGAATAATGGTTTCCAGAAGAGGATTACTGTCAATTACTGTCAGTTACTAGAGGCAGATCCCACCGGGTCCCTCTGGTATATTTGGCAAAGATGTTATAGAGGTAGTAGTTTTGCGAGAATTATCAAACAATAGTTATCATTGTTAATAATTCTAAGAATACTACCTCTATTACATCAGAAGCACTCCCACCCGCCTCCCCATTTCATCTACCTCTAGTGGTGAGATGTGGGAAGAAATGAAGGTTCCCGGCAATGCATACGTCATAGCTTGATTGGTTATGATGCTCATTGGGAACAACTAGTTGTGTATTTGACAGTGAAGAGGACGTCTGTTGAAAATCTGAAAATTTCAGTTATATGACTGAAGCCAAAATACAGGGGTAAGGCAAAGATGTAATAGAGGTAGTAATCTTAGAATTATTGACAATGATAACTATTGTTCGATGATTCATTCACAACTACATTAAAGTTATTTTCTGATAGGGAGAGCCAAAGAAATTTGTATTTTGGAGCAAATTACTTTTTTCTAAGAGATCCCAGGCCTCTCACCCCAAAATAAGTGGTAGGAACCTAAGAGGCGAATCCATTCTACTCCCTCGCTCACCTGTTTTAAAATTTTTCAGACCAGGCCCGGCGAGGATAAGACATTTTCACAAAATCCACCCTCTCTGTTGATTTAAAGCTATCTCACCATTATTTTAAGAATAGTTGTAATTAAAGCCTCACGATTTCTGACAGGGGCAGACTCAGACTGGAGGAGGTCACACGTTCCATGTGTTTGACAAGGTGGTGATACAACTCAGCATCGACCGATCCAACGAACAACACATGAAACTCAGCATCAAGCTGGTCGAGCCTCCGGTGGGTAGCCATAAATTGGTAGTCTAGCAAGCTGGTTCAGCCGCATATGGTTAGCCATAACTGGTTCAGCCTCAGATGGGTAGCCATAACTTCGTAATATAGCAAGCTGGTTCAGCCGCATATGGTTAGCCATAACTGGTTCAGCCTCAGATGGGTAGCCATAACTTCGTAATATAGCAAGCTGGTTCAGCCGCATATGGTTAGCCATAACTGGTTCAGTCTCAGGTGGGTAGCCATAACTTGGTAGTCTAGCAAGCTGGTTCAGTCTCAGGTGGGTAGCCATAACTTGGTAGTCTAGCAAGCTGGTTCAGCCTCAGATGGGTAGCCATAACTTGGTAGTCTAGCAAGCTGGTTCAGCCTCAGATGGGTAGCCATAACTTGGTAGTCTAGCAAGCTGGTTCAGCCTCAGATGGGTAGCCATAACTTGGTAGTCTAGCAAGCTGGTTCAGCCTCAGATGGGTAGCCATAACTTGGTAGTCTAGCAAGCTGGTTCAGCCTCAGATGGGTAGCCATAACTTGGTAGTCTAGCAAGCTGGTTCAGCCTCAGATGGGTAGCCATAACTTGGTAGTCTAGCAAGCTGGTTCAGCCTCAGATGGGTAGCCATTACTTGGTAGTCTAGCAATCTGGTTCAACCTCAGGTGGGTAGCCATAACTGGTTCAGTCTCAGGTGGGTAGCCATAACTTGGTAGTCTAGCAAGCTGGTTCAGTCTCAGGTGGGTAGCCATAACTTGGTAGTCTAGCAAGCTGGTTCAGCCTCAGATGGGTAGCCATAACTTGGTAGTCTAGCAAGCTGGTTCAGCCTCAGATGGGTAGCCATAACTTGGTAGTCTAGCAAGCTGGTTCAGCCTCAGATGGGTAGCCATAACTTGGTAGTCTAGCAAGCTGGTTCAGCCTCAGATGGGTAGCCATAACTTGGTAGTCTAGCAAGCTGGTTCAGCCTCAGATGGGTAGCCATAACTTGGTAGTCTAGCAAGCTGGTTCAGCCTCAGATGGGTAGCCATAACTTGGTAGTCTAGCAAGCTGGTTCAGCCTCAGATGGGTAGCCATTACTTGGTAGTCTAGCAATCTGGTTCAACCTCAGGTGGGTAGCCATAACTGGTTCAGTCTCAGGTGGGTAGCCATAACTTGGTAGTCTAGCAAGCTGGTTCAGCCTCAGATGGGTAGCCATAACTTGGTAGTCTAGCAAGCTGGTTCAGCCTCAGATGGGGAGCCATAACTTGGTAGTCTAGCAAGCTGGTTCAGCCTCAGATGGGTAGCCATAACTTGGTAGTCTAGCAATCTGGTTCAACCTCAGGTGGGTAGCCATAACTGGTTCAGTCTCAGGTGGGTAGCCATAACTTGGTAGTCTAGCAAGCTGGTTCAGTCTCAGGTGGGTAGCCATAACTTGGTAGTCTAGCAAGCTGGTTCAGTCTCAGGTGGGTAGCCATAACTTGGTAGTCTAGCAAGCTGGTTCAGTCTCAGATGGGTAGCCATAACTTGGTAGTCTAGCAAGCTGGTTCAGCCTCAGATGGGTAGCCATAACTTAGTAATATAGAAAGCTGGTTCAGTCGCATATGGTTAGCCATAACTGGTTCAGTCTCAGGTGGGTAGCCATAACTGGTTCAGCCTCAGGTGGCTGGTCATAGCATCAAGCTGTTTCAGCCTCAGGTGGGTAGCCATAACTGGTTCAGCCTCAGATAGCTGGTCATAGCATCAAGCTGGTTCAGTCTCAGGTGGGTACAACAGCACCACAATCTGACTTACTGGAGGAGGATGTGGTGGATACAGTATCTGACTGGCCCATTGAGTCGTACCGCAAAGACATGGATAATTTATAGTTACCTTCATACAGCAGCATCTAACAACACTTACTCCCTCACTCCAGATCCAGGGCTTCAGTGTACCCCCAGCTGCCCCCAAGGGACCTGATGATTCAGAGCCACCCAGCAAGAAACACAAGTCCTAACCCAGGGGCAGGAAGTCCTTCAGTGTTGAAGTGTGATGGAGCCTGCTTGTGGTTTCTGGATACAGAAGGAACCACCTCACTCATCTTGTTCATGATGGGATGTGGCCAGGGTTCCATTCCTCACAGCAATGTAAGCACTACAACCATCGTAATTCTTTGATGAAGTATGGGAGTTACGACAGTCGTAGTGCTGAGATCGCTCTGTGAGATGGCCCTGGTTCCACTTATAGAGCAACAATTTCTATACAGCTTTGAAGCATAAATATAACATACCTGAAGTACAATCAGGTACTTTGTACTATGTGACTTGGCATCCTGACTTTGAAAATACATGTATTCCTTCATTAAACAAACAAATTAGGCTAAAGAATTACGTGTACTTTGAGCAGTGGCAGCAATCATAAGAATGGGCTAGACGTGTATTTGTTTTTAATTTTCAAAATGTTGGCTTCTACGAGGAAGAACTGGGTTTTTATCCGAAGAATTTAAAAGATTTTTACCCTATGGTAATTTGTCAGCTGTATTGGTGTTATTGTTTAGATAAAGAATATGGTGTATATTACAGAAAGTGCTTGTTACAGAGACCAATTGTTATGTTTTCTATGAGGACCAGGATGTGTACAGTTGCACTTCTTCATCATGCAGTATGTTGGTACATGTGCTCTCAGAACAGCAGTGTAAATAAACATTTACAATGTCATACTGGTGTCATACTTATTATTGTCAACCTCATTATTATCCAGCATTTTCAGGAATAATCCACATCCAACAAGTTTCACTTAGTTTCAAAGTAGGGTTCGTTTCTGGAGCAGAAAAACACTCACACTGACACACACAGAGACACCCACACCCACACACATAGAGACGCACACAAACTCACAGACACACGCAGAGACACACACAGAAGCACACAGACATTGAAATCCGTAGGTCAGCTGATGTCTACAACTATAATAAAGAACAGATGTAACACTCACATTACAATTTTTCACTGCTCCTCGGGAGATTTTTATTTGAGGAACTATGGTTACCTGACGAAACAGGGACATTATGATTCTTCACGTCTTCTTCACTCCTCGTTGGGAGACCTTTATTTGAGGAACTATGGTTACCTGAAGAAACACTGACATTATGATTCTTAACCACTTCTTCACTCCTCGTTATGAGATTTTTATTTGAGGAACTATGGTTACCTGACAAAACAGGGACATTATGATTCTTTACTTCTTCTTCACTCCTCATCTGGAGACTTATATTTGAGGATCTATGGTTACTGACGAAACACGGACATTATGATTCTTAACCACTCTCCACTCCTCGTCGGGAGACCTTTATTTGAGGAACTATGGTTACCTGACGAAACAGGGACATTATGATTCTTCACTTCTTTTTCACTCCTGGTTGGGAGATTTTTATTTGAGGAACTATGGTTACCTGACGAAACACGGATATTATGATTCTTAACCTCTTTTTCACTACTCATTGGGAGACTTTTTTTTGTGGAACTATGGTTACCTGACGAAACACAGACATTATGAATTTTAACCTCTTCTTCAATCCTCGTCGGGAGACCTTTATTTGAAGAACTATGGTTACCTGACGAAACAAGGACATTATGATTCTTCACTTCTTCTTCAATCCTCATCAGGAGACCTTTATTTGAGGAACTATGGTTACCTGACGAAACGCGGACATTATGATTCTTCACTTCTTCTTCACTCCTCGTTGGGAGACCTTTATTTGAGGAACTATGGTTACCTGACGAAACACGGACATTATGATTCTTCACTTCTTTTTCACTCCTGGTTGGGAGACCTTTATTTGAGGAACTATGGTTACCTGACGAAACATGGACATTTTGATTCTTCACTCCTCGTTGGGAGACCTTTATTTGAGGAACTATGGTTACCTGACGAAACACGGACATTGTCATTCTTTATTTCTTCTTCACTCCTTGTTGGGAGACCTTTATTTGAGGAACTATGGTTACCTGACGAAACACAGACATTATGATTCTTCACGTCTTCTTCAATCCTCATCGGGAGACCTTTATTTGAGGAACTATGGTTACCTGACGAAACACGGACATTATGATTCTTCACTTCTTCTTCACTCCTCGTTGGGAGACCTTTATTTGAGGAACTATGGTTACCTGACGAAACACAGACATTATGATTCTTCACTTCTTCTTCCCTCCTGGTTGGGAGACCTTTATTTGAGGAACTATGGTTACCTGACGAAACACGGACATTATGATTCTTCACTTCTTCTTCACTCCTGGTTGGGAGACCTTTATTTGAGGAACTATGGTTACCTGACGAAACACGGACATTATGATTCTTCACTTCTTGTTCAATCCTCATCGGGAGATTATTATAAGAGGAACAAAACTTACGCAGGTAATACAGTCTAACCTTTAGTTTGCATGCAAGCTCCAAAACACAAATTTTGAGTCAGCAATTTCAATAACTCATAAAAACAGTTTTCATTCACAGAAAGAGACAACTGCAAACGCTATGACAGCAGATGGGTAGTTAAGTGACTGGAGGTCCGTCACGGTCCAAGAGCCGCCTGGTCATATGACGTCTGCGCGCGTGCGTGCGTGCATGCGTGCGTGTGTGTGTGTGCGTGCGTAAGTGCGCGTGTGTGTGGATACCTAAGTGTTTGTCAATAGACATTTCAAGTGTTGTTTATAGACACCTAAATGTTTGTTTACAGACACTTTGTGCCTATGGACACTTTTAGTGTTTGTTTTTAGGCACATTTTGTGTGTATGTATAGAAACAATAACTGTTTGATTATGGATACAATTAGTGTTTGTTAAGTGACACATTTTGTGTGTTTATAATCACCATTTGTGTTTTTATAGACCCATTTAGTGTTGTGTTTATTGTGTGTGTACAAACACCTTAAGTGAATGTGTATAAATCACCATTACTGCTAAACAAGTTCATAATGGGTTGTGGGAAGGTATTTACCTTAAGTGTGCAAGCACTTGTGTATCGACTGCAGGTCTCAAGAATGTCTATTGCATCTCCGAGGTTCCATTGATGCAATCAATTCTTCCAATGGTCCCGGCGGCCTGCGTGAGAGCAGCACCACCCGCCGCCACAGAGCCCCGCATCCGTCAATAATGAGACTCACTAGCCAGCAGGTAGCGAAACATCTGTCTACATCACACTTACAAGACTTTGTCAGACATGATGCCAACCGCGAATGTATGGACTCAATCGGACACGCCTTGTACTTTGAGATTGCTGTGTCAAAAGACGGTACAAAGGTGAGTCGTACTCTACTCCGATGGGGTGGGGGGTGGAGGGTTGTGGAAGCTGGGGTGGGGGGATTGAGAACGTTTGCAGGGATGCGCATTCCACCATTTGTATATTGTTTGCGTCTTTTAACTGGAAAGAAATCAGCTCACATATGCAAATTTATTCCCCAAATCATTATTTGTTTCCTTATTTTCATCTATTTTTATTTATGTTTCTTCTGCAACAACTTCCCAACCGCCAACCCCCATCCAATCCACCAAGACACACATATTTCAAAGTAGCTGTGTCCCCCAACATACACCTACTCACACCCTGTTTTAGAACAAGTTATGTCCGCGCTTCTGATTGATGATTAATATATTAAGTAGTCGTGTCACTTAAAAGGGCAAGCATATATGACCAGATCCTTTTCAATTGCCTACCTAATTTAATATGACGCGTTTGTACATTATGAAATTTGTGAATGACCACACAAGACCAACGAATAAAGAACCACTTACTATATTTAAATACACTGTTATAGGTTTACGATAAAGTAGGCTATACATTGGACAAACAGCAACACGTAACATACCTGAGAATTGATATGTGCACTCACGAATGTTAGATTATAGTCACTATTGTCATGATTAATGTCATCACAGTGCTTGAATCCAGAAAAGCGTTGAAAGCTGTCAGGTGTTTCCAGATAGGTATCAGAACTTGGCAAGTAAAGTCCGATCAAAAAGCCTCGTAGGTTTTTATATAGGTACATCCTGCATTCTAGAAAATGTCACAGCCAGAAACTTCTTGAATGATCAAGCCTGTCATGTTAGTGTTTGCAACCAGGAACAGATAGAATTAACTCACGTAGGGGCGGTGAGGTTGCCTTGTAGATAAAGCGTTCGCTGTTCACGCCGAAGACCGGGTTTCGATACCCAACATGGGTGCAATTTGTGAAGCCCATTTCTGGTGTCCCCCTGCCGTGATATTGCCAATCTCATTAAAATCAGATCTAAGTTCTCGCTGCCGCTATACAAAGATCTGAGGACATCCCATTAAGGGTCACGTCAGAATGACCTTTCGCAAACTTTGACCGACCACTGAAATGACCAACAAGAAGCAGCCAATTAGAAAGCAGCTTTCTCGAGCTTTACGGCACTCGTTTCAACCTGGCGACTTCCATTTCAGACTACGCTTGAAACATGTTGACACGGTTCTCGGTGAAAACTGAACAAACGAACCTTCCGGAATGTCTAATATATGGTTGAGATTGTATGGCAGTGCTTCCCACGTACTATGCAACGCCTCCTCCGTTCAAATGTTTATCCCACGGAAGCGAGATACAATTGTGACGGAATTAGTCGTACGGGCCGTAACTGTTGTTCGGAATACCCCGTGTTACCGTTTTCGAGGTTGCATGATTAGAAAACACATTCCGACTGTCACTTTCATGATCTGGTAAGCGACGCTTTGATTGGTCGGATGAAAGGTCGTTCTGACGTGACCCGTAATGGGATGTCCTCAGATCTTTGTTTAGCGATAGCGAGAACTAAGATCTGATTTTAATGAGATTGTGATATTGCTGGAATATTGCAAAAGGCGGCGTAAAACCATAATCACTCACTCACTCTAATTGATGTAAAAAGCCCTTCCAGCAAGCTCAACCTTCCACGGTTCAAATCATGTGGTGACAGCACTTATTTGTTTTATTAGTATTTCTATCAGTTGCTGCAAGTACTACAAATATATTTACACAATACTTCGCCATTTACACCATGTACACACAGCACCGTTACAACCCTTAATGTAACATTTACTCTTAATGTAAAAACAATTACATTGAGGGTTGCGGGTTAACCCTTGTTCCAACCCTTAATGGAAAAAATACTCTAAATGTATAAATCTTTTACATTAAGGGTTGCGAGTGAGCCCTTGTAACAATTTTTTATGTAAAAAATACTCTTAAAGTAAAAAAAATACATTAAGGGTTGAAGTGACAGAAAATATGTTTTTCACATTAAGGGTTATAACTAAAAAAACTTCGCAGATTTAATTGATCGTTACTTTGTCAAGATGTGCAAATGACTAATCATTTTTAGATTCCCTCTCTACAACGACCACCAAGATGCTATATGCAGGTTTTATATAACGGTTTATGACCCCTAACTCTTTTAACCGATTTCTATCAAACTTACTGTTTTACAAAGGTTATCTTTCGATACTCTGCAAGGTAACCTAATTTCCGTCACTATCCAAATACGATAACGACGGAAAGGAGGACTCGGACCTAGCAGATAAGACCATGTCGTTGATGGTGGTGGGTTGTTAGAATGGTCCATTAACAGAGTTTTAGGCATAAAATAATGGACATTTTGAAGCAGTATTGCGCATATGACAGTTGAGCATACACCAGAACCATATGCTATTACAAACGACAGGAATTCAA